AGGATCGCCGGAAGGTGTAGCCGAGGGAGAGCAGGCCGGTAGAATGACGTGCCAGTTTAAAGATACGGACGATGCGCAGGATGCGAAACATCTGTACCAGTTTGCGCACAGAACTGAGCGACTTGAAGTTGTTGCGGGAGGCCACCTCCACAATTATAAGGTGGACATAGAAGGGAAAGATGGCAATCAGATCAATGGTATTAAGGGTGTCTTTGAAGAAACGACAGCGATTGGGACTGCACCAGAGCCGGGTCAGGTATTCCAGTGTAAACCACAGAATGCATATAAACTCAATGATTTTTAGGTAGGGGTTTTCACACACATCCACGCCCGTCTCGTCGGTCTCGTAACACCAACTGAGGAAGAGCTCTTTACTGTGGTACCATTTGGAGGAATTCATGGCTTTGCGGAGTTCTGTGATGTTTGGTTGAAATTGGGGTAGGGTTCCGATCGTCAGGCCCAGGGTGGAGATGATGATGAAGGTTATCGAAACGATGGCAAAAATCTGCAAAAAATAAAAATGCACAGCTGGTTGATAAGTCTTCGGAGGCGAATGGGCAATTTTCAACGGCGAAAAAGAAAATTGATTAACTTTTTCCCCTTTAGATTAACCACTGCGCCAGACTGTTTGTCACTTTAGTTTTTTTTTCACTCTGATATAGCGACTATGCAAAACGCTGGAATTGCTAAAAAAACGTTTTGCCGCAAAAAGTCTGTTTTATTTGAGCAGATGGCTGTGAATTTCTTTGCGTCTATTTACCTTGTCTGCAACTGACGGGATTGTTTGAGTGTGAGCAAACAATGCTGGGTCTTTTTTCGTGCGGACAGCGTTATACGCGTTGATTTTAAGCTGGATGCATGTAGGCGATAGTTGTTAGGAGGTTATAGGCACATTGTTCAGAAAGACTAAAGTGAATATATTCTACGAAAGCCAATAAAAAGCGTCTGGAAAAATAAGCTTTCATGCAGACTGCAGATGATAGCCTTTTAAGGTTTATTCTGCACTGACGTCCGCAAACTGTTATAGTCTATCAATGTTTTTACCCATGGAAAGAAATGAAGGTTTTGATGCCTGCACAAATAAACAGTTATTAACGCAGTAGAGATACTGTCTCCAGATTGAGGTGTTAAGTCCAAAACAAAAAATTAATAGGGAAATTTCTCGACGTTCACTCTTCACGGCAATGAGTTCACATGTTTGGGTGGTTATAAACTATGTCGAAAACAGAAACCTGCATAAGAAATAATGTTTAAAAAAGCTCGTAATTTAGGTAAATATTTTAGGAAATACCTTATTTTTAGGATTTTGATAAACACGCAGAATATAGTCCTCATTCATAGGCAATTGACGGAAGCCAATGAAAATCATCCCTATTTAAAGACCGATTTGAACCCTGGGCGTGATGGAAATCCCAAAATGAATACAAAGAAATGGGACGGAAGGAACTTTCTCTTAGCTTACAAAAATGGTATTTTTACGATTGCAACTGGCAATTCTATTTGAAGTTATTAGTCATTGATCAGTATATCAACACGTTACCTTAAGAAATAGCTTTATTTTGTGACCACCCAGTCTGCAAAATCAAACGATTGGTTGTCTTAGTCTTACGTGACTGCGGCAATGTAAAATTGAAAGAAAGAACCGGCAATTCTCGTTGTACTGCATACTGGAAGTTTGGGCTGTTCGGTAACATTACATTGCACATAATATGGAAGCATATGTGTCCGAAAATATTAAAAAATGATTATTTTCCAACCTAATTCTACTTAGGTTGGTTTATTCACTGGTGTTCCTTGTATGAAGAGGCCCCCTCTACATTTAAAGCTAAAATTCACCTAGAAGTCCGTTTTGCTAAAAAGCTGCTATTTCTAAACAACGTTATATTAGAAGGAGAAAGGGCGTTCAACGGGAGAGGTATATTTGTGGTCTGATGTTTCGAATATTTATCTCGACTATCCATCTTCAGAGAATGAATCCTCTGGCTCCTGGCTCTCG